CTTCTTGCTGGGATGGAGTGCAGAACCCCCTGGGAGATCTCAAGAGATAAAGCAATTTGTGGACTAGAATGCCCTGTCCAAAGAGAAGGTCTTTACATCCTTAACCCTTCCTGATCCTTGGCTCTACTGCTGGGAAGTTTTTCTGTTAAGGCCAGGCCTCAAGCTTGTAATAGAAATAACAGAGGTTTTTAAAAGGAACTGAAACCACCCTGCTCAGCAGAATGTTCCCCACACATTTGCTGTGGCCCCTGGCAGCACCTCTGCTGGGGGCGTTCAGCCTTAGGAAGCACTTGTGGCCACCAGACGCCACGGGGTGACTCGGAGGCTGGTAAACAGCATACGGCATTCTCGGCCTATGGTGAGCATTCATGCCCTGAATTCTTGGTCCTCGTGAGGAGAGACAGAGAGCTGTTCTGTGTGCAAAGCCCAAAGCCAGAAGATTTCAAAACCCCCATCTGGAGAGCTCTCCACTGCTGAAGTGTGCACACCACTAGCCTTTAAAGTGTGCTTGTGAAATAAACTTGCCCAAACTTGGACTTCTTTCTTGAAAACTTGGGTTTCCTTGTTAATTCCAAAGGGAAAACATGACGCTGTTACAATGGAGAAACTTGGCAATCTCCTCCTTAATCAAGGAATCGAAATCATACAGGTCCTGAGAAGGGACCCCACACCACTTCTGTGGTGTTCCTGCCCCAAGAAGCATAACCTGAATCTAACCACGAGGAAACATCATCAGACAAACCCAAATTGAAGGACATTTCTACAAAACAACTGGCCTCCGTACATGTCAAAAATATCGATGTCACTAATGACAACAAAAAGCTGAGCAATGTTCCAGATTGAAGCAACTGAAGAGACCATGACAACTACATGCCACGTGGGATCGTGGATGACTGAAGCCTAAATTGGGGGAAAAAAGTACTGTAAGAAAATTATTGGGGCAATTGGTAAAATTTAAATATGGACTCAATGTCAGATAATAATATTGTATCAATGTTAAGTTTCCTGAAGTTGATTATTGTATTGTGTTTATATAAGAGAATGTCTATACATGCTGAAGTATTTCAGAGTAAAGGGTCATGGTGTCTGCATTTTATTCTCATATGATTCAGCAAAAATAATGATAATTATAACATCTATATAGAGAGAGTTTGATAAGTCTAAGGGCCGGCCTGGTGGCGTAGTGCTTAAGTTCACGCACCCCACTTCTGCGGCCCCACAGGTTCAAAGGTTCGAGTCCTGGGCGTGGACCGACCCACCACTCATCAAGCCACACTATGGCAGTGTCCCACATACAAAATAGAGGAAGATGGGCCTGGATGTTAGCTCAGAGCCACTCTTCCTCAGCAAAAAGAGGAAGATTGGCAACAGATGTTAGCTAAGAGCCAATCCTCCTCAACGAAAAAAAAAAAAAATGGTAAGTCTAAGTGAAAGGTATATGAATATTCATTGTATTATTCTTGCGACTACTCAGTCGGTTTGAATTCAAAATAAATACACTTTAAAAAAAGAAAAAAAGGAACATCAGTTACATGCCTTGCTGCATCTCCCAAATGCTACTCATGTCCCAGCTGATGCACAACACCAGAGAGCTAAGGTTGGACTAGGAAGAAGTGAGACGTGTACTAGCAACATGCGAAGTTCTGGTGGGTGCTGGGCTTTGCTTTGGGACACTGGAGATACAGTAGTATTTCAACAACACCACCGTTGCTCAAAACATTTGAGTCAGTTTACCAAGTACACAGGAATATTAGGTGCACTACGTTATAATCACACCTTGCTTATCACCCAGTTCAGCCCCATCCACCTAATTAACCAGCCTTGCTCCTGAAAGGATCAGAGACTATTGGAACTGGCCAAGGCCTTAGAGAATGCATGCCTTATCCATGTTACAAACGCGGAAACCGAGGCTCAGAGAGGGACCTTAATTTGCCCAAGGTGATGGCTAATGCCTCTGACTCCCAGACCACTGCTCTTTTCAGGGCTCTGTCCTGGGAACCCTGGAGTATCTTCCAGGCCCTTTGGCTATTTACAAAAAGCAAGAGAGGAGTATTCGTGTTTTCGCAATGAAACTTCCATATACAGAAATTCAAACTTGCCAAACCAAAAACTGAGAGGATTAGGACATTGTCCTGGTTGCTGTCTATCTGCCCCTCCACCCTCAGAGCCCTTCTCCCTGCTTCTCTACCCTGCTCTGTGCCTCCAGGACACTGACCCCTTCACCCGCAACACCTGGGCTCGCTTGCCCTCCAGGGGGAGGCACCAGCGGCAGGAAAGTTCAGGGTATTTCTTCCTGCTTCGCGTGGCGGGCAGTTCCGGCAAATGCTGTGGTCCTTCCTTCATGGCTACAGCTCCTGCTGGCGGTCCGTCCTCCGCCTCCAGCTCATGCTAGATTCCAGGAACACCATTTCTTCCCCAGGCCCCTGTCCCTGGGGGTCTTACCACCCCTTGTGGGAGTCTTTGCCCCTGCCCACTACTCTGTGAACAGTCCCTTTTAAAGTCTCTGTGGTTGAACTATCTTCAAGTGGAATTTGGTTTCCTGCAGAGACCCCAACAGATATAAAAATGAGTCTGAGTTGATGAAAAATATTTACTGCCATTTGTGAGCCTGTGCATTTCAATCTTCCAAATGTCCCCTTATCCACACCACTTCCTCTACACGGACACATTGCCTGAAGCAAAGTGCCCTGTGAGGATGCAGGCCTAGCCCGGGCCCTTCCTGGTCTCCTGAGGGTATTCCCACCCTCGAATGCAGGAACCAGGACCTCAGAGTGTGAGACCTCGTGAATCTGCACCCTGCAGGACTTTAGGGAATAACTTGGACCATCCCTGTCAGGGACTGAGAGGGGACCAGGGTAAGTGGTGATGGAGGAGTCGGGAAGAAGAGAGGGAGTGGGAAATGCGAGTGGGCAGGCAGGACAGGCAAAGGGAAGCCAGGTAGGATGGGCCCTCACACGCCTCTCCAGCCCCTGGCGCCTCCTCCATGCTGCCCCTTCTATGGTAACGGTCACTGCAGGAGGGAGGGCTCCTGTTCTGTGGTCACTGCCTGCAGCCTGGGCCTGATGTGGAAAGAGGGCAGCTGAGAAGTTTCTCACGCTTGAATGGCCCATTGCTGTTTCTTCTCCATCTTACCCACTACCCTCTGACAGCCCCAGCCTGAGAGCCCAGGAACCATGACCATCCTCATCATCCTCGGTAGAAGTATCATTTACACGTGTATATTTCCAGTGTTCAAAGCATTCCAGTTTCCCACATCCATCATGTCATTTGGTCATTTGGTCTGTGAAGGTTAGCAGAAGAGGGTTCTGAGACCAGTGGGTCTAAGACAGCATCTAACCACATGGCACTCAAAAAAATACGTATTGAGTGAATGGACACTGAGGGCCACCACTAGCCTACATCACCCCTTCCTCAAACTAAAAAAATTTTTAATTGATACATTATTGGATAATCTGGGTCGTTCTGCCCAGGGGATCTTTCCAGCCTCGTAATGGGCACCCCTCCTGGCTGTGTACACAAGTGTTCCCCACTGTCACTCACTCACCCCACCCTCCAGACACAAGGGCCATACATCTCGGGTAGCAGGTACACTGTCCCACCCTACACTCTTGTCAGTTTCAGAATGGAGGGAGGATTGGGAAGTGGGCTTTGGGCTGTGTGTGAGTGAAAGAAGCACCCTTGGATGCCTCCAAGAGTGGGTGCTCGGACCCAGTTAGGACAGGAGACAGCCGTGTGCAGGTGTGTGTGCCAGTGGGCATGTGCGTGGTCTCACTCTTGAGTGTGTGTGGAGGGGCTCCCACTCGCCTCTCTAGGACTCCATACACACCCTCATGTTCTCCATAAATAAACATATGGCCTGACACTTAAATATGGTGCCCTTGCACAGTAGACAACCTAAGCACCTGAACGGACTCTTTGGTCCTATGGATACTGTCCCCCTTTTCTGGGTGAGAAACTGAGGCTCAAAGATTAAGTGTCTTGCCCAGTTCACAAAAGCAGCTGGAGGTCAGTCATCTTAAGTAAAACAGCAGGGGATCAAGCACCTCCCTTGTTACCTACCTCCTTCCAAAACCAACAGCCACCTTTGAGCTCCAAACCCCCCAGGGTCACAGGCTCTGGCTAAGGTGGGAATGGATGGAGCTGGCAAATGCATGTCTGAAATCCATTCTGAGTTCATGCTGGGCAGGATATCCCACTGTTATGTGCAGAAACCAACTGACAAGCTGGTACTAGAGAGGGCAGGATGGGGTGGGAGCTGTTATCTCTGGTCTGGGGGTGATAGGAGAGGTACAAAGCTGCCTCCACTGGCAGAAAGGTGGCAGCTCTGGGTGGTGGCAAGGGGGACGAGCTTGGTCCGATTGCTTTGGTACAAAATTGCCCTCTGCCCAACAGTGACCAACTTTAAGAGCGTTTCTAGAAGGTTCCCCCACCATGTATTCTCTGCAGAGCTGGAAATCAAAAGGGGACTTTGGTCAGAAGAGATTTTTCATAAACTTTAGCCCTAAAATGGACTAGAAGGAACCATAAAGACATCTAATACGAGATCGGCACCCTTATTTCAAAGAAGAGGAAACTGAGGCCCAGACAGGGTAGGTAAGTTGAGGTCACCCAGCAAACCTGCAGCCAAGTCAGGAATAGATGGCAGGCCTGTGACTCACAGCCAGACCCCTTTCTCCCACTCCAATAGGGCTTTTTTTCCATTCACATCTGTATCCTTTTACCCATTTAGAACCATTTCTGAGTCGTGTATTCACACCTGAGGATGCAAAGTTGGTGGGTGGGTCCTGGGGCTTGGCCTGCCAGCGTGCCAAGCCTCTCCTGATTTCTCAGCAATGGTGCCGCCAGCCTCACCCTGAGAATTGAGAAGCAAAGAATTCCTCCCATCATCCACTAATGAAACTGGCAATGCCACTGGGTGGGTCCAGTCCGAACTGTCAGGGCTCGGGGTGCAGCTCCCCCAGGCTTTGTCCCCTCAACACAGAACGCAAAGGCACAAGACATCAGGGTTAATGAACAGCTTTATTTGCCTTTGACAGCATCCATTTTTCTTACATTCTTAATTAATTTGCCATTAAAGTGCTGGAAAATTTCTTAATCACGATAACATTTGTTAAAAGAAATCAGAATATCAGGAGCATGGCAGTCAAGAAGAAAACATTTCTCTTACAGTTCACAAAACGGAAGCCCCTCGTGGTGAGCTGGTGGGTTGGCCAATTTACAAAGATATTCTAATTCCCTCTCACCAAACTGGCTGTGACCGCCACCCCTGGAGAAAAGGCGATGCTAAAGAGTTCTAAAAACACCCACACGCCCTGCCTGCCAGCTCCTCTCGGCCGTCTTTGGGTGTTTGCTGTTTGAGTAGATCCAATCTTAGGAGAAATGGAGGTCTGGCCCCCTCTACTGCCTTCTACCCCACCCCACCCTTACTAACAAAAGCCCCAAAAGTCATTACAATGAAAAAGTGGGTTTCCATTATCCCGACACTAACAATGTTCAGTAAAAATGAAGATAATAAACACAAAAGCTTGCTTAGTAAACAGGAGCTCTCAGCATTCAATGCAAAAAACTGAAATCTTAAGGCAAATACTGTTGATTTTGCACATGGGCTGGACGAACTTGGAACTCTTTACCTATCTGGAAAGCTCCGGGAGCCTAAAGGCGGTCTGCGCCTGCCACTGGCCGAGGCCAGATCTTTGCATTACTGCTGAGGCTGTTGGCGTGTTTCTCTTTGGAGTTTATATACAAACACACCCAAGGCTGATGTCTTTTTATACATATATGTACACACACAAAGGCCGGCTACTCTTTCTTAGTGGAAACGGCCAGTTCCACCTCGGGAAGCTGGATGCCAACCTTAGTCCCACTGTCATTGCTAGAAGAAGATGACAGTCGGGACTTCTTAGAGGCCAGGGACACTCCACTCCCCTGTAACTTGCCTGTCTCATCATCACTCCCAGTCACCTCATAATGACCTTTGCTCTTTGACCCCAATCCACCAAAGGTACCAAATTTCAGCTTCCCCTGTTTCCCTTTGACTTTCCCGCCTTCCAGAGACACTTCTCCACCTTCAAACTCCAAAGTCCCAGGCGGGGTGGAAGGTGCAGAGAGCTCCCTCTCGTCACTGAAGGAATTCGAGCGGTGCCGTGGCTTCTTGCTTTTAAATAAGGAGAATTTGCCTTTGGGCGAAGATGTTTCGGCCTCTGCCTCTCCTTCCAGAGAACCTAGGCTGGCCTTGGAGCTCTTCAGGTCACCTTTGGACCCTGAAATGGATGCTTCTGGTGAGCCAGTGACACCACCTTTCCCTTTAGGTTTGGAAAAATTGAACTTGGGCATTTTGATTTTGGACTTTTTAAGTTTTACGTCGGACTCTTCCCACTCGCCCTCTCCGGCACCAGACTGGACACTGGCCTCTGCTTTAGGAAAGCTGATATCCACCCCCACTTCTCTGCCAACCAGCTCACGGCCAGAGAAGGTGAATTTGGGGATCTTCATCTTGGGGAATGTTACTTTTCCAGATCCGCTTCCCAAGGGACCTTGAGGCCCAGAGACGCTCAGCCCAGGACCCTGGAGTCCAATCTGGCCTCCTTTCACACCTCCTTCTCCCTTTGGTCCTGAGAAATGAAGTCCCCCAGCGAACTTAGGTGCATCCAGGTTGAGAGCGGAGGAGACCTGGGGTCCTTTCCACTCACCCCCGGAACCTTTGACACTCACATGCCCTTCGCCCAGGCTGATATCTGGGGCACTGACACCCCCTGAAACATCCACACCTCCTTTGATTTTGGGGCCCTTCAAGCTGACACCGAAATCAGACTCAGGAGATGCCACATTAAATGAAGGCCCCTTCACGCTAATGTCAGGAGCAGCCCCATGGAAACCTTTCAGATCGCCTTTGATTTCAGGACCAGAAATTTGCCCGGTTGGGAGTTTCACATTCACACCTGGCAGCTCCACACCACATCCAGAGGACTTAATTCCAGGCATTTGAAGGTCTCCTTCTAGGCCCTGAACACTGATGCCTGGAAGACCTCCTCCAACAGTGGGGCCTTTCAACTCACCAGTGACCCCAAGGCTCCCTTTTACTTTTGGTCCTTCCAAGTTCAAGTCCACATCCGGTGCTGAGATTTGAGGGCCAGAGATCTGAGGCCCCTTCAGGTTCAGGCCTCCCAGGTTCACATCCATGCCTGGCCCCTTTAGTTCTCCAGAAACCTGTGGCCCCTTGACGTTAACGTCCAAGTCAGACCCTGGAGTGGAGATGCCAAACTGGGGCAGCTTCATTTGGGGAAGTTTAATACCACCTTCAGATGCCTCCAAGCTTAGATCAGGAGCACCTACTGATACTTTAGGGCCCTTGATGTCACCAGAGACAGCCAGGTCTCCCTGCAGGCTTGGTCCCTTCAGGGTCACATCTGGTACTCCAACGTTAAACGCTGTCGTGGCATCAATCCCCGGCACTTTCACACCGTCTCCTTCCATCTTCACCTTTCCACCGACACCTCTGAGGTCAAGCCCTGGAGCGTGCACCTTCATGCTGGGAACAGATGCATCCAGGTCTCCTTTCAAACTTGGTCCTTTCAAGTTCAGGTCAAGGTCAGGTCCAGAGACTTTTGGCATAGACAGGTTCACTGAAGGCAAGTCTACTTTCGGCCCCTTCAGAGACACGTCAGGGCCTTCAAGCTTAACATCTGGTGCGCTCAAGCCTCCTTCAAGAGAGGGCAGCTGGGCATGGACCTCAGCTCCCCCACCCTCCATTTTCACACCAGGGACGCCGATCTTGGGCATTGAAAACTTGGGGAACTTGATTTTCGATTCTGGACCTTGCAGATCTACATCTGGTCCTTCCAGGTCCACACTGGGGACATCACCCTTTATCTTTGGTCCTTTCAAGCTAACATTCACATCAGGGATGGAGACTTGAGGGGCAGAAATGCCGAATGCTTTGACTTTAGCATCTGGGCCTTCAATGTTGATGTCAGGTGCGTCCAAGTTTGCCTGCACCCTGGGGCCTTTCAAGTCACCCTCTATTTTTGGCCCTGAAACATCCACACCTGGCACTTTGAACTTAGGAGCCTTCAGCTTCACGTCAGGACCTCCCACATTAATCCCTGGTGAAGAAATATCCACATGAGGTGCCTGGATTTCACCCTCCATTTTGGGGGTAGGGAGGGGGGCTTCAGCTTTAAATTTAGGTGATTTAATGTCAAATTCCACATCTGGGAAGTACATTTTTCCAAACATAGGTTTCTTGGTTTTGGGAGATTTCACATCAGCTTTAAGTGTGGCATCCGGCCCTGCAACATTGACATCTATATCAGGAGTCTTGAGACTGGCATCAATTTCGCCCCCAGGAACATTCAAATCAAATCCCTGTTTTTTGGCCTTAATTTTAGGACCACTCATGTGAATTTTAGGCATTTTAAACTTACTTTTCTTGCCCTTGGCACCAACACTAATTTCAGGAGTCTCAACATTCAGCTCAGCCTCAGGGACAGTCACATCGAGTGAAGGTGACTTCAAGTCAGCTTTAGGGCTTTTTGCCCCAAATCCAAACTTGGGTTTCTTAAATTTGGGAATTTTAACATCGGGTCCCTCGATGTTAATATCTGGGCTTTCCATGTGTACATCTAAGCTTGGAGCTTCTAAATCAACCTTGGGCCCCTTGAGGTCCAGTTCACCACCTTCTAACTTGGGACCAGAAACTCCAATTTTGGGTGTCTTGAGGTGCAAATCAATATCAGGAGCAGTTACTTTAGGAGCAGATATATCCAGTGATGGCATCTTCAAATTTGGGCCACTGAGTTTGGCATCAGGGCCTTCAAAATCCAGACCTGGACCTTTAAGGTCTACTTCTGGGCCTTTGAAAGCACCTTCAATCTTAGGGACAGACACATCAAAACCTCCTTTGATTTTGGGTCCTTTCAAATCTAGGTCAACATCAGGCTTGGAGATTTTGGGGGCTTTGATGTTCATCTCAGGCATCTTAAACTTGGGGCCCTTCAGTTTTGCATCTGGACCTTCGATATTCACATCTGGAACATCAATGTCCACCTTGGGCCCTGAGACATCAATGTCAGCCTTGGGCAGGTTCACATCCACTTCTGGGCCCTCTCCTTTGAAGCCAGGCATGCTGAACTTGGGCATTTTCACCTTGGGCATCTTCAAGTGCCA